AGGCACTTGTCTCTTCTCTGCTCTCTCTTACCTTCCAACTGTGGATGCAGAAAAGAATCAGTGATATAAGAATACCGTATTCCAAATTATTCATCTTGATTCTCCTTTTTTGCTCCATCCTCCTTCCCCTTGTGTGGTAACAGAGTGGCACGATTGACTATGAGGAGTTTGCAGCCATGATGCGGCAGCAACAGGGAGGAGGGCCGGATAAGCCTCGCCGCAAGCAATCACTCTCCTCTGCCTATTATTGAAACATGCTCATTGTTGCCGATACATTCTATGCAGCAAACACTGCGTTTTGCTGACGATGTCTCTACAGCACTCTTGCATGCGACTCTCTGGTTAAATTATGCTAGCTAGTGATTGATTCTCAACTGCTGTAGGTAGGTATTTGAAAGATTGACTGCTGCCTTTCAGCTTTATTTCTCAATCGAGTCCCACTGTTCAGACAGATTTTGTGATACAGATTTCATTGCAACCAGACATCTTGCACACAGTTACCGTACACGTTTTGGTTGCACGCATGGACATAGACATTTGGGTAGGTGCCACACCGAACACTTGTGGTAACAGTTTAAGGGTGCATTCCTATGGGGACACAAATGTCTCAATCGCTTCGTGACACACAAAAACAGCATAAGCTGTAGTGTGTCCCAATTGCGAGTCGCCTTTCTGCGACCACAACTGTATTTTTTATTGGACAGCGTGAAACGCGCTGACGAATTGTAATCCGACTCGTCAATGTGAAAAAATCGCACGCGGCTCGAAATGTCAATGCATCTGGACAGCCTGCAGTGCCAATTTCGTGCGGGAAAAAATCCCGCGCGTCGAAACCACACCCCAGCCAAGCAGTTGAAGAAAGGGATGTACAGTCATTTGTGTCACCGAATCAAATGCGCACAACTGTACATTTCGCTTGGTCGCCTAGAGTCGCGATACATTGGTTGTTTGTGACACAACATTTGGCAAATTTACAGACGCGACTCGGGAAAACGGGGATTGAGACACAAGTGTCCCCGCAGGAATGCACCCTAAGTGACATGGCTTGAGTGCAGCTGTGCTTTGAGTGCAGAGCAGATCTCACCACCATCAGTACAGCTCCAGTTGAGTCTGTTTCTTAAAAACTCTCAAAAAGCAGACCAACACCATCAGTGCAGCTCCAGCTGTCCCTGCTCATTGTCCCCAAAGCCAATGCAGGTGCCGTCACGGCACAAGGCAACAGTGTGGTACGCCCCCGTGCTGATCTGCTTGTAAACATGAACCACATGAACCACATTGAACCACACGGAAAAGAACACACATGCAAACAGACGATGATTCAGTTGACTCAAACTAGTCACAGCACAAGGGAAAGCACAGCACAATTAAAGTAGGCCCCCAAATGCTGATATGCTCACTGGCACGACACGCACACGGAAACGCACTCGCAAACTGACTCAATGTAGCCGCTTCTCATAAGTACTCAAGCGGCACGTAGGATAAATTTGCAATACCGTAACCAGCATCAACCAGAAAGGGTGCTACCGGTGCTTCGTTGTTTCCTCACCTGCACCACTCATTTCCCCTCGAGAGCCTCGACCAGCATGCGGGAAAACACCTTGTCTCGCCCTGCCGCCAGCCACCACTCCCACCAACCCTACAGCTACCCGTAACTCAACAGTTCACCCTCCGGCCTGTCCCTCTCACCTGCACCACTCGTTTCCCCTCGAGAGCCTCGACAGGCATGGGGGAAAACACCTTGTCTCGCCCTGCCGCCAGCCACCACTCCCACCAACCCTACAGCTACCCGTAACTCAACAGTTCACCCTCTTGCCTGTCCCTCTCACCTGCACCACTCGTTTCCCCTCCAGAGCCTCGACAGGCATGGGGGAAAACACCTTGTCTCGCCCTGCCGCCACACCCAGCCCTCCAAACGCCGTCCATCCAAACGCCAGGACCTGCCCCTGGTCGTCCAGAGCTAGTGTCTTGCGCTTGCCCAGAGTCACCTGGTTAGAGGTTGGAAACATATGTGATGTGATACGGCAACGTGCTCAATGTGATAAGCAAATGTGATAAGCCAACGTGATAAATTGATAGGATTGTCCAATCATACCTGCACTATCCGCGTGTGCAGCAGCCCCTCCACGACACGTGGCAGCACCTCATTGGCCTCGCTCCCATTGCCCAGGCACCCACAGTAGCCGGAACCCCACATGTGCACCTGCCCACACGCAGAGAGAGACAGGTCACAGGACGCACAGCAGCGAGTGGGCTTTAAGTAAGAACCTACACGAGGCTTTACATGACCAGACTTGTTGAAAGAAGCATTTGCTTGGCATATGTTTTTTGAGAACTCTCAAGAAACAAGTAAGAGAGCAGCGGTGAAGACCTGTGCAGACCTCTACACACACGTCAGGATTCAACTCACCCGTCCCATGCAGTCAAGAGCAGTGGAACACACCTCTTAACACCTAGTCACACCTCTTCACACGTCAGGATTCAACTCACCCGTCCCATGCAGTCAAGAGCAGTGGAACACACCTCTTAACACCTAGTCACACCTCTTCACACGTCAGGATTCAACTCACCCGTCCCATGCAGTCAAGAGCAGCGGAGTAATCAACCGAAGCCGCCACCTTCATCACACGCACGCCCGCCCGCACCAGCCACGATATGGGGTGCGGTACCAGGCAGTCAGACAGGTCCGTTGTAGCAGCCGCCACTGCTGCAGCCGTAGCAGCAGAAGTAGCATTAGTGGATGTAGCGCTGCCAGTAGCGGCAACACTGGCTGTATAGCTGGCGCCAGTAGCAGTCGCACCACCACCAGCACGCCTGCCCACATGCACCCTGCCAGCAGCACCCCCGGCTCGTCCCTGCCCTCGCCCCACCCGCCCTCCGCCTCCCCTCATCCCCTCCGCCCTCTCATCCCCCAACCCCTGCGCGCCCTCCGCCCATTCCCCCCATCCCTGCGCACTCCCCGCCCAGCTCCCCCAGCCCTGCGCGCCCCCCAGCTGTCCACTGTGCCCTCTGCCAAACGCCAGCACCACGCCAGCAGCAGTGACGGCCAGGGAGTGACTCGCGCCAGCTGCTACACTCACTATGCGGTACTGACCGTATGGGTCACTGCTGCTGCTGCTGCTGCTGCTGCTGCTGGCGCTGCTGTTGGTGCTGCTGCCGCCCGGTTCGTTGTTCTTGCCGCCTGTATCGCTGTTGTTGCCATCCGTATCGCCATTGCTGCCGCCCGTCAATCCGCCCAGCATGGCAGCCAGCACCTCTGGCCGCAGCCCCTCCACGACCGTCGGGCGGCATCTGTCGTCCGTATCTCCCAGACCCAGCCGGCCATTGCCGCCCGCTCCGAACGCATAAACAGTCCCATCCCTAGCTAGCACGAGAACATGGCTCCTTCCTGTTGCGACCTGCTGACATGGCACACCTCTTAAAGCCTCCACTAATTTCGGCTGAGGAAATTTCTTCCCCACCCCGTCGTGCCCGTGACCACAGCACCCGTTAGTGTCCTGCCCCATAGTGTAAACCTTCCCGGACCTCGTTAGTATCACAGTGAAGGCCCTCCCCCCTGCCACTTGCGCCACTCTCTCCCGCATACCGCCCTCTTCTTCCTCCCTACTCGCCCCGTTCCCTCCATTTTCCCTGTTTCGCCCGTTCCCTCCATTCCCCTCCGCGTCCGCGCTTCCCCCCACCGCGATTTGCGCCCTCAGGGCCCCCCTCCGCCCACGCGCCCCTCCCCGCCGCTGCTGCACCTGCTGCTGCGCGTGAGCGGCAGGTCTCTCCGCGCCTGCTACTGCCGAACTAGTTGTTGCTGCCGAGCCTGGAGCTGCGGTACTACCGCCAGTTCCGATTCGGACCGCCGCCAGGCCGGCAGCAAGGGCGGCAGCCGCCCACCCTTGGCCTGCCGCCTGGTTCTCATCTCTCGCCAAGGGAGGTTCATTCAGGGCAGGTTGATCCGGGGCAGTGACTGGGGCAGGCAGATCTGGGGGAGGTTGATTTGACGCTAACGGAAGGGTGAACTGCGGGGAACCGTCTCGCGAGCCTGAACCGTACACCCATAGCTCGCCGTTTGTCTTTATCTGGAATGAACAGTAATCGCCCGCGTAAACTGCTGATGCCAACTCGCCAGAGTTCCGCGCGCCGGCGCTCGGCGGGCGGGCTCCCCCTCGCATCCCCTCTTCCTCCGCCTCCCTCCGCAGCCCCCAGGCGTCCTCCACCGCCCATGCGAAGCGCAGCACGCGCAGCCAGCTTCCGCCGCACCGCTGCGCCGCCATTCCGCGCAGTAGGTCCGCCGGCACGCGCGCCAGCAGCGGGTGGCGCAGGCATCGCGCGCGCGCGGCGGTTTCAACAACGGAGTGACGGCGGTTCGGGGGAAGCAGGAGCGGGCGGCGGAGGGCGTAGCAGACCGCCTCGAGCCGCGCGAGGTCTTCTGGGGAAAGCTCGCGGTTGGGGTCGGAGGACGGCCGGGAAAGCAGGTGCAGAAGGACGTCTTCTGATAGGTCGGCGAAGGACGTTGGCGAAGGCGTCGCAGGAGTTGATGGTACGAGTGCCGTGGCCATAGCCGGAAACGACCTTGGAGTAATCGCTACTACGAGTCTGCTCCTGGAGAGGATTCTAGAGCGGAGCTTGGAAACACAAGACGAAGAATAGTTTAAAATTATGGAGCTAGCGAGGCTGTTTGTTGGGTTGTTACGCGTAGTCAGCTACTATCGCTACGGCCGGAAATAGTTGAGCTGCAGTCCTGTAATACAGATGTGCTGAGTGAACTTCGCTGTGGCACCCTTTATATAACGCTCCAGCATGAGATGTCCTCGTGGCGAAGTTGCTGCTGCTGGTTTCTAATGTCGTAGACGTTTTTGTGCGTTTCGATACGGTTTTGCGTGATATATTTTGTTGATTTACGGTGCTTCTTCTCTCTCAACGGCTTTTTCCTTCGGTAGCAGGTGAGGTGTGGAGGAGGAGTTGAAAATTGTGGTGGTTTGCGACGAAATTGCGGTTTGGCGCGAGTCGCAGAGATGTTCGCGACATTAGCGGAAAGCGAGAATATGAGGAAGCTGATACGGGTGAATACACGCCCTCCGATTCTTTGCGAACGGCTGCGATGCGTAATGTTTGCCTGTCAACGAGGGAATGTTACGAAATGTGCAGGAAGATCAGCCAATAAAAAGCGAGAACCAGCGCGATCATCTATGCAAGGCTCAGTTCGTTTGACGTGGTGGGAAAGTCGACGAATTGGGGAGACTGCGATGGTAGATTTCGGGAATGTGCTGTCAGCAGACCAATCAGAGCGCGTTCAGACACAGTAACGAGAACTCGGTCTGTGACAGTATAACACCGTATGACACCGTACGTACACTAACAATGTGTATCTGCATCACCTACACCGAGAAATGTTCTACCCCGAACAGCTAGCAACTCGCATTTTCGCACCTGATCTTGAACAAGAGCCAGTCTCCTCCAATATCCCAACCATTTCCACAACAGTGCTCCAAATACTTCTCATTTGAACTGAGCTACAGAAGCGCCTAGACCCATGGCAGACAGTTGGGGGGGAAATCCTCGCGGCGGAGGCCGCGGGAGAGGCGGAAGAGGTGGAAGTGGCGGAAGAGGCGGAAGTGGCGGGCGAGGCGGACGAGGCGGGCGAGGGTTTAGCGGATCATTTGGGGGTTCAAGGGACTCGCAAGGTTCAGGGTATAAGGGAGGTTGGGGCGGGGCTGGGCGGGGATCGGATGGAGGAGGGGGAAGACGAGGGGGAGGCTGGGGAGGCGGGCGCGGAAGAGGGGACGAGAGGGGCGGAAGAGGCGGGGGACGGGGCGAGTGGGGTAGACAGCAGGGCGCAGCTGGCGGAGCGATTGGGCGCGGAGGGAGCGCCAGCCCCGGCGACTCGAGAAAGCGCAAGTTTGAAGGCGCAGGCGGAGGTTCCAGCGACGGTGGAGGGGGAGGCGCGCGCGGGCGAGGGTGGGGGAGAGGCGGCGGGCGCGGGAGGGACGGGGGACGAGGCGGGGGACGGGGCGGCGGACAGGGGCGGGGGGGAGGAAGAGGGGAGAGCGCACCTAGCGGACCGATGGATAGGAAGCAGAGGAAGGTGCGTGCAATGGCACTCATGGCATTCGTCGGCTTTAAAGCACCTCGTCATTCCCATGAACACCGTCCCTCCTTTGAACCCTGTTCCCCCCTCAAAACCCTTCCCTTTTGTCCACCTCTCCTACCCTCTGTACCATCCGGCGCCTGCTGCATTAAACCCTCTCGCACCTCCTCTCCTCTTATCACTTATCACTCCCACTCTCTCCCCCCCGCCCGTCGCCTCTTAGTTTTCTCCTCTCCTCCACCGCTCCCCCTCCTACCCTGTCTCCCTCCTTCCTCTCCCTCCCCCCTCCTCCCCGTTCCCCCTCCTACCTTTTGCCCTGCGCACAGGAGTTGGCGGAGGCGCGGAAGAAGCGCCGCCGCCCGCTCTTTGATCTCGAGAAGGTGGGCGCAGAGAGGGTTTAGCGCGCCAGGATTTAGCTCCACCTTGAAACCCCAGAACTCTGGATTTGGAACAGGCGTGTTCCGGGGATAGGGGTTTAGCACTTTCCAAGTGTAGTGAGAGGCGGGCTTGGTGCAAACGGGTTGGGTGCATCAGCGCAGTGCGGGCGTGAGTATGGGTTTATGGGTGTAGGAGAGAGGCTCGGGGAGGGGCGATAGGAGACTATGTCTGTACTAGCCACGCCATGCCACGCCCTGCCACGACCTGCCACACGCCATGCCACGTGATGCCACGCCATGCCAAGTCCTGCCACACGCGATGCCATGCGATGCGATGCTATGCCATGCCATGCCGTGAAAGGCCATAGCCTGAACGTGCCCTCTCGTGTGCACGTTGGTCTCATTTGATTTGTGCTGTATACTGCTATGTGTGCATGTGTGACTGAATGCGTGGGTGATTGCACATCTGTGTGACTGTACATGTGTGTGACTGAATGCATGTGTGACTGTACATGTGTGTGACTGAATGCATGTGTGACTGTACATGTGTGTGACTGTACATGTGTGTGACTGAATGCATGTGTGACTGTACATGTGTGTGACTGAATGCATGTGTGACTGTACATGTGTGTGACTGTACATGTGTGTGACTGTACATGTGTGTGGCTGAATGCATGTGTGACTGTACATGTGTGTGACTGAATGCATGTGTGACTGTACATGTGTGTGACTGAATGCATGTGTGACTGTACATGTGTGTGACTGAATGCATGTGTGACTGTACATGTGTGTGACTGAATGCATGTGTGACTGTACATGTGTGTGACTGAATGCATGTGTGACTGTACATGTGTGTGACTGAATGCATGTGTGACTGTACATGTGTGTGGCTGTATATCTGTGTGAGTGCACCAGGAGTTGACGCTACTGTGGGAGAAGAGTCGGCAGAGGAACATCGACATGGAGAAGAAGCGCAAGTGAGTGCCCCGTGCGTGTGTGCCCCGTGCGTGGGTGCCGAGAGTGCGTGGGTGCTGAGAGTGCGTGGGTGCCGAGAGTGCGTGGGTGCCGAGAGTGCGTGGGTGCCGAGAGTGCGTGGGTGCCGAGAGTGCGTGGGTACCGAGAGTGTGTGGGTACCGAGAGTGCGTGGGTGCCGAGTGGTGAGGGGGCGAGAGGTGGGAGTGTGAGGTGGGGAGAGAAAGGGGGGGGTAGAGGGGCGCTGAAACCTTGCTCAGAAGTGAGTGCCGAAACCGCCCCCCCCCCCCCCCCCCCCCTCCCCCCCTCTCCTCTCTCTTATGGTCCATCACTGGGGCATCTCTGAGTCAGACTGGCATCCGGAGATGTCTAAATGCGCCCTTTCTTTTTTCTCCTCGTCTTTCCTCCTCGCTTCCCAGGCTGGTGACAATGATGACTGCGGAGATGAAGGGGAAGATGGTGGAGATGATGGCGAGCTCACACACGGTCTCACGCGTGCTGCTGCTCTGCTCATTCACGCCTGCTGCTCTGCTCATTCCCTGTTCCCTCGTCCTCTCCCCCCTCTTCTTCTTCTCACCTTGAACTCATCTCTCTCACTCCTCCTCCTCCCAGGCTGGTGACAATGATGACAGCGAAGATGAAGGGGAAGATGGTGGAGATGGCGCGCTCACACACCGTGTCACGAGTGCTGCAGATGTGTGTCAAGCACGGCCGCAAGGAGGAGCGGGAGGCTGTGTTTTCTGAGCTGCGCCCGCACTGCCGTGAGCTGGCAGTGCATCCCTACGCGCACCACTTGGTCAACCGCATGATGGACCATGGTAAGCATGTGATGGTTTTCCTACATGGTGCATGCATGGTACGTTGTGTGTCAAGCACGGCCGCAAGGAGGAGCGCGAGGCTGTGTTTTCGGAACTACGCCCGCACTGCCGCGAGCTGGTCGTGCACCCGTACGCCCACCACCTGGTCAACAGGATGAATGATGGACCATGGTGGGTTTCATTGATAAGCTTCTCTTCCTTTCCGGTAAACTCAATCATCGCTGCACTGCACTGCCGCGAGCTGCCTATGCACCTGTATGCTCCTCACCTGTATGCTCCTCACCACCTGGTCAACCGAATGATGGACCAGCCTCTCCTCCTTTCTGTCTCCCTTTCCCTTTCTGTTTCCTGTATCTTGCTCCTACTTCCATCTACGTTGATCGAACTTTCAAGTTCCTTGATCTTGCTCCTAATTCCCGTGTACGCATGGCAGCGAGCAAGGAGAAGAAGCACGACATTGTGGGGCAGCTGAGGGGTCATGAGGTCGAGATGAGTTGACGAGATTCTCAAAAGTGGTACCAGCCTTGCCCGTCTTTCCCTCTGCTATTCCCCTCCTCCCGCTGTATGCATGGCAGCGAGCAAGGAGAAGAAGCACGACATCGTGGGGCAGCTGAGGGGCCATGTGGTGGAGATGATGCGGCACCCTGTCGCCAGTGCTGGTATGCAAGTGGGGAAAGGGGGGGTTGGGGAAAGGGGGGGTTGGGGGAAGGGGGGGTTGGGGGAAGGGGGGGTTGGGGGAAGGGTGGGTTGGGGGAAGGGTGGGTAGGTGTTGCTATACGTGAGAGCGTAGTGTCATGTATTTCAGCTGATGCATGCGCCACAGACCAGCCGAAGGGCCATGTGGTCGAGATGATGCGCCACTCTGTTGCCAGTGCGGGTATGTTTCTGATGCCATGCCACGTACTCATGGTGCCATGCCACGTACTCATGGTGCCATGCCACGTACTCATGGTGCCATGCCACGTACTCATGGTGCCATGCCACGTACTCATGGTGCCATGCCACGTACTCATGGTGCCATGCCACGTACTCATGGTGCCATGCCACGTACTCATGGTGCCATGCCACGTACTCATGGTGCCATGCCACGTACTCATGGTGCCATGCCACGTACTCATGGTGCCATGCCACGTACTCATGGTGCCATGCCACGTACTCATGGTGCCATGCCACGTACTCATGGTGCCATGCCACGTACTCATGGTGCCATGCCACGTACTCATGGTGCCATGCCTTGTGCTATTGTAGCCTTGTGGTGCTATGTCACAGTGCCGTCTTGAGTCTGCTCAATCCTTCCATGTTTCTCACTTGTCCCCGCCTCTTCCTCCCTCTTCACCTCTCCCTCCCTCCCTTACCTCTCTCCCTCCCCCCTCCCCCACCAGTCATAGAGCACGCCTACCAGCTCTTACCTCCGCCTCAGCGCTTCGCGCTAGCAACGGACTTCTTTGCACCAGACTTCCGCCTCGTCCCCTCGCTCGCCCTCCCTGGCGCCGGCCGCCTCTCCGACCTGCTATCCAGCCTCCCTTCGCTCCCCCAGGGAGTTCTCCTCTCGCCTCTTCCCCACACTCGGCCTTCCCCCTCACTCGTGTCCCTCCTCTCTCTCTCTCTCCCTCCCACTCCCCTCCCCCCGCCAGTCATAGAGCATGCATATCAACTCTCCCCACCCCCTCAGCGATCAGCCCTAGCATCCGAGTTCTTTGCGCCAGACTTCCGCCTCTTCCCCTCGCTCGCCCTCCCGGGCGCCGGCCGCCTCTCCGACCTCCTGGCCAACCTCCCCTCGGGCACCTCCCGCCAATCAGTGCTGCAGCACCTGGAAACTTCCCTGCAGCCGATCCTGGAGAAGGGCATAGTGGATCATTCCCTGTTCCACCGCGTGCTAGCGGACTACCTGGGCGTCATCTCCAAGGTGTGGTGGGCCTGTGGGGTGGGGGTGGGGGGGGGGCACCAGCCGGCAGTCCGTGCTGGGGAGGAAATGGCATCACCAGAATTTCATCCCGTCATTCCCAGAGTCAACCCACTTCCACCGCCCCCGCCCCTCCCCCCACCCCCCCTCCTCCTCTTCCCCTCCCGTCCTGTTTGTTTGGAGTGCAGAGGGAGGTGGCGGAGGTGAGGCAGCAGCTGATGGGGGCGCTGCTGCTGCGCATGGTGCACACGCGGGATGGGGTCAGGATCGCCAATACTATGGTGGCACAAGCAACTCCAAAGGTGAGCAACGCCCAAGGTGAGCAACGCCCATGGTGAGCAACGCCCATGGTGAGCAACGCCCAACCTGTGCTAATCCCAACCTGCGCTGATAATGCAGTTATCTTACAACTACAGCGCTCGGAATCTCACAGCCACCAACCAACTAACCATCCAACCATTTGATCCATCTCTTCCATTTCACATGTGTTCCGTGGAATGTGGCATGGCATGGCATGACCTGTCCTGTTTGTCATGTGGCATGGTCTAAAAATTATGGCCTGACGTGGCATGGGATGTCCGTTTTTGCTTGGCATGGCATGACATGGCACGGCATGTCTGTGCAAACGGCAGGAGATGCGGCGGGTGGTGAAGGCGCTCAAGGGGGTGGTGGCGCGGGTGATGTGTGACGACCACGGCCACCTGCTGCTGCTGCAGCTCTTAGAATCCGCCTCGTCAGGCCCAATCAACCGGGTAGGCGTCTCTGACCTGACCCAATAAACTGGGTAGCATACCATATCACGCCCTTGGAGCAGAGGCATGATGTGTCGCGGTTAGCATGAGGCGATTTTTGAGTCGACTCAAAAATCGCCTCATCACAAGCAGAGGCATGATGTGTCGCGGCTAGCATGTGACGACCACGGTCACCTGCTGCTGCTGCGGCTGGTCAAATCAGCGTCCTCAGGCCCGCTCAGGCAGGTATGCTTGTTCGACCTTTGAACATAGCATAGCATACCACGCCCTTCCCAACTTTCCTATGGAACAGCATGCTACCACGCCCTTGGAACAGCATGCTACCACGCCCTTGGAACAGCATGCTACCACGCCCTTGGAACAGCATGCTACCACGCCCTTGGAACAGCGGCACATTTGGATGGTGATGCTCGTGCTCGTGCTCGTGCTCGTGCTCGTGCTCGTGCTCGTGCTCGTGCTCGCACCCAAGGCTGCCCTTCCCAACTTTCCTTCTCCCGACCGCTTCCCTTCTCCCGACCGCTTCCCTTCTTCCTCCCCACACCCCGTGTGTCTGTTCATTCAGTTTGTGATTAAAGAGCGCTTGAAGGACTGCAGGAGCGCATTGGTCACTTAATGCCGTCAGCCTTGCTGCTCTGTTTTCCCTCCCCCACTCCAGTTCGTGATCAAGAAGCTCTTAAAGCACGTGTTTGGGGTCATGCAGGACCCCATTGGCCGCCCCAACCCTTCCCCCCTCCTCTGTTTCCCCCCTCTCACTTCGTTTTCAAGAAGCTCCTGAAGGACCTGTTCGAGGTCGTGCAGGAGCAAATCAGCCACCTGAGCGCTCTCCTGCTCCTTGCCCATTGCGCCCCTCCCCCACTCCTCCATTTCGTGATCAAGAAGCTCCTGAAGGACCTGTTTGAGGTCGTGCAGGAGCAAATCAGCCACCTGAGCGCTCTCCTGCTCCTTGCCCCAATTGCGCCCCTCCCCCACTCCTCCATTTCGTAATCAAGAAGCTCCTGAAGGACCTGTTCGAGGTCGTGCAGGAGCAAATCAGCCACCTGAGCGCTCTCCTGCTCCTTGCCCCCATTGCGCCCCTCCCCCACTCCTCCATTTCGTAATCAAGAAGCTCCTGAAGGACCTGTTCGAGGTCGTGCAGGAGCAAATCAGCCACCTGAGCGCTCTCCTGCTCCTTGCCCCCATTGCGCCCCTCCCCCACTCCTCGATTTCGTAATCAAGAAGCTCCTGAAGGACCTGTTCGAGGTCGTGCAGGAGCAAATCAGCCACCTGAGCGCTCTCCTGCTCCTTGCCCCCATTGCGCCCCTCCCCCACTCCTCCATTTCGTAATCAAGAAGCTCCTGAAGGACCTGTTCGAGGTCGTGCAGGAGCAAATCAGCCACCTGAGCGCTCTCCTGCTCCTTGCCCCCATTGCGCCCCTCCCCCACTCCTCCATTTCGTAATCAAGAAGCTCCTGAAGGACCTGTTCGAGGTCGTGCAGGAGTGCGCCGCCTGCTGTTAGCATAATTTCCACTCCTTGTCCCCCCGTTTCATCTGCAGTTCGTGATTAAGGAGCTCCTGAAGGGCATGTTGGAGGTCACGCAGGAGCAAATCAGCCATCTAACGTCAGCCTCTTTTGCCCTCCTTGCCTTCCTTTGCCCCTGTGACCGCCCGGCTCTCACTCCAGTTCGTGATCAAAGAGCTCTTAAAGGACCTGTTCGAGGTCATGCAGGAGCGCATTGGCCGCCTGATCCATTCTTTGCCCCTTTGCCCCCTGTGCCCACCTTGCGCCCCCCGTCTCACTCCAGTTCGTGATCAAGGAGCTCTTGAAGGACCTGTTGGAGGTGATGCAGGAGCGCATTGGCCGCCGGTTCCTGCTGCAGCTGCTGGCCCCCTCCTCCCACCGCTACCTGCCGCCCGATGCCGCCCAGGCCATTGTGCTGGGCGGCAGAGTGGTGGAGGAGGTAAAGGAGGAGAAGGAGGAAGAAGGGGAGGAGGGGGAGGAGGAGGGAGGTGAGGAGGGAGAGGAAGGGGAGGAAGAGGAGATGATGGTGGAAGGGGAGGATGGAGAGGAGGAAGGAGAGGAGGGGGAGGAGGAGGGGGAGGAGGAAGGGGAGGGAGTTGAGATGGAAGAGGAAGAGGGATGAGGAGGAAGGAGAGGGGGAGGAGGGAGAGGGTGAAGAGGGGGAGGATGAGGGAGAGGAAGGGGAGGAAGGAGCGGAAGGAGAGGAGGGAGAGGAGGGGGAGGAAGGGGAGGAGGAGGAAGGAGAGGAAGGAGAGGAAGGAGAGGAGGGAGAGGAGGAAGGAGAGAAAACGATCAAGCCCGGGAAGAAGAAGGGGAAGCTGGATGGCAAGAAGAGAAAGGCGGCAGCAGCAGCAGCTGCTGCGTTGGATGATAGTGATGATGATGATGAGGAGGAGGATGAAGGGGAGGAGGAGGGCGAGGGAGGGCAGGGGTCCCGGTCCCTTGCGAAGAGGAGGAAGCTTCTGGTGGATTCGGGGTTGGCAGAGGTGAGTGGAGAGGAAGGAGTGGTGAGATGGGGTGGGATGGGATTGGATGGGGTGTGGACTCTCACTTACCTAGCTGTGCTGCTTCGCCAGGTACTGCTGTGCTGGGCTCCATTTCCCTGTGCGGCTGTGTTGATTCAGCAGATTTTCAAGCTGGCAAGGCGGCGTCCAGCAGCCATGCTTTCTCTCCAGGTGTCTCGTCTCGTGATATTGTTGGCTTGTTGCATTGTCAGCCACCTGGTGTGTGTGTTTGTGCTGCCTTGTCCCTGCTGCAATGTGCTGCTCCCCTTGTGTCGCTCCTTACGTTGCTCCCTTGTTCTCAATTCAACAGGAGATGCTGAAGCTGGCAACGGAGCATGCAGGAGCCATGCTCACCTCTCAGTTCGCCTCTGATGTCATCTACGAGGTAAGATGCACTGTTACAGTTTCGTATAGGTACTATGTGCTGTTACAGTTTCATCTAGGTACGATGCGCTGTTACAGTTTCGTTTGTGACATGTGTGTAGTTTCTTCCGTCTCATGTTATAGCTGAATGACACGTTTGCACAACCTCATCTGTCCCTCACGATTCATTCAACACTCTTTCACGATTGCTCTTGTTCATTTCCTCTCCCTTCCTTTCCACACATCATAACTGTAACACAATCCCTCCCACCTCTCGCCCTCCCTCTCCTCTCCTCATTCACCTCCCTCCATGGCCCCCTCCCTCCCTACCTCACCGCCCCTTAGCTTGCCCAAGGAGGGGACGCTTCTCTACTCGCCCTCCACCACCCCTCACTCCTCTCCGCCCTGCACTCTTCCATCGCCGCCGCTGCCTCTGCTCCCCCACACCTCTGCTAATACCGCTCCCTTCTTCATTTCCCCCACCCCCCATCTTCCCCCCCCAGCTTGCCTGAGGAGGGGACGCATCTCTGCTCGCCGGCCACCACCTTTCACTCCTGTCTCCTCTGCACTCTGCCATCGCTGCTGAAGCTGCTGCTCCCCCACCCGCCACGAATACTGCTCCCTGCCTTCCCTCCCTCCCTGTCTCGCCTCCCCCAGCTTGCCCGAGGAGGGGACTCCTCTCTGCTCGTCCAGCACCACCCCTCGCTCCTCTCCGCTCTGCACTCTGCCATCGCTGCCGAAGCTGCTGCTCCCTGCCTCCCACTAATACTGCTCCGTGCCTTCCCTCCCTCCCTGTCTCGCCTCCCCCAGCTTGCCCGAGGTGGGGATTCTTCTCTTCTCGCCCTGCACTGCCCCTCACTCCTCTCCGCCCTGCACTCTGCCATCGCTGCCGAAGCTGCTGCCCCCCGCCCCCCTGCTGCTGCTGCCACAGCTGAGAACGCCAAGAGCGAGAAGGGAAAGAAGGGGAAAAAGGGGAAGGGGAAGAGCAAGGAGGGACAGGGTGAGGAGAAGGAGAAGGCAAAGGAGGAAGGGGAGGAGGGGGAGGAGGGGGAGAAAGCAGAGGGGGAGACGGAGGAGCAACAGAGCCATGTGTTGGAGGACTTCTTTGGGAGTAGAGTGCTCAGGAGACTGGTGGCTGATGAGGAGAGGCTAGCAGCTGCAGCAGCTGTGGAAGGAGCAGAAGAAACGGCAAAGGCAGAAGAAGAAGCAGGAGGGGAAGGGGAAGGGGAAGGGGAAGGGGAAGGGGAAGGGGAAGGGGAAGGGGAAGGGGAGCCTTTTTGTGCTGTGTTGTGGCGAGAGGCGTTGCAAGGGCGGTGCAGGGAGTGGGGCACAGGACACAGGTGAGACCAAAGGGAGAGCGCTAGCGTGAGAGAGAGGGCTAGCGTGAGAGAGAGGGCTAGCGTGAGAGAGAGGGCTAGCGTGAGAGAGAGGGCTAGCGTGAGAGAGAGGGCTAGCGTGAGAGAGAGGGCTAGCGTGAGAGAGAGGGCTAGCGTGAGAGAGAGGGCTAGCGTGAGAGAGAGGGCTAGCGTGAGAGAGAGGGCTAGCGTGAGAGAGAGGGCTAGCGTGAGAGAGAGGGCTAGCGTGAGAGAGAGGGCTAGCGTGAGAGAGAGGGCCACAGGACACATGTAAGACAAGAGAGGACACGAATTCATGACTCTTGAAGTGTTTCCAGGAAGCGCTCTGATATTGTTTCCCTCATCTCTTCCCTCGCCGTCTCCCTGCTTTACTTCCCACGTTTCTCCTCCCTCCTTTCTCCACCTCGTTTGTTTTTCCCATTCCTCCTTTCCTTTACCCCTCCCTCTTGACTTTTGAGTCGACTCAAAAGTCTCCCTCTTGTCTCCCTCTTGTCTCCCTCTTGTCTCCCTCTTGTCTCCCTCTTGTCTCCCTCTTGTCTCCCTCTTGTCTCCCTCTTGTCTCCCTCTTGTCTCCCTCTTGTCTCCCTCTTTTCTCCCTCTTGTCTCCCTCTTGTCTCCCTCTTGTCTCCCTCTTGTCTCCCTCTTGTCTCCCTCTTGTCTCCCTCTTGTCTCCCTCTTGTCTCCCCTTCTACTTTTCCTTTTCCCCCATTCGCCTTAATCCTATCCTCCTTTCTCCCCATCCTGTCTTCTGCAGCGCCAAAGTAGTGGCAGCACTGGCCCATGCCCCTCACAAGCCAACAAAAGACGCCGCCCTGAAAGAAATGGCAGCATTCCTTGATAAGCCCGAATTTGCAGCACTGAAACGGCTGGTGGAGAGTCCTCCCACGCACCACCACCACTAGCAACGGTAGCAGCAGGAGGTGTGTTTTGAGTCGGCTCAGAGAACTCACCTCTGTAGCAAGGTTCGCCTATCAATCCGAGCTTGCGGCACTGAAATGATTGGTGGAGAGTCCACTGTTCCACCACCACTAGCTGCAGCAGCAGCTGCAGCAGCGTTAAGAGTATCACCTGTTTTGGTGCCCTGCCTGCCCCCCCCACCACCACCGCCGCCACCATCAGTAGCAGCAACAACAAAACCACAATTTTACTGAGTGTGCATTGCGTAGACAAGAAAATCACAATTCACTGCTTTATCTGCTGATGTGTTGTTGGAGGATGGGATAGGAAATTGAAAACTAATCTTGTCGTTATGGAATGAAGAAAGCATTTACGGTACAATAATTTACATGGCTTCCCAGCAGAGCAAGTTGTCTCTCTACCTTGCTGAGGGCCACCCATGACTATGGATACAAGCTACACGTTAACAAAACCTTGCCAGTACGAGACACTTTAGTAATGCTTGTATAGGCCACAAGGCAGATTTGTTACATTACAAAGACCATTGGCAGATGGAAGCGAGAAACCTGCAACAACAGCAGAACTAGAAGCAGCAGAAGTAGCAGCAACAGCAACAGAAGGGACAGTAGTCAATTTTCACCAACGGTTACTGCTTGCATTACAGCAACTGATACTCTATCCTTTTGCACAGCAGTAGGTGAAACCACACAGCAGATGGTCACCATTCTGCCAGAAGGACCAGGGGCCAGGACCATGCTTGGAGCTCCCTAAGTGCAACGCTTAGCACCAACAGTGTGCAACACCCAATGTGGAAACACTAAGCACAGCACTTAATATCGCAGCCAGAAAGTGCGGCGGCGCAGCCAGTTGTAATCTGGGAGGAACTGCGTCGGGCCGATGGCTGCCACCGCCACATCCTGAGTAGGGGGTATGAATGGGGAAGGGGGAGTAGAATAAGGGGGGAGGGGGGACACGTGTGACGAAACTGACCAATTGTAGTCCGGGAAGAACTGCATAGGGCCGATAGCTGCCACCGATAGCTGCCACCGTCCCGTACTGTTGAGCATCACACAGGGCAGTCAGTGAACCGCTCTGGAACGCACTTCACCGTCTCAGCATCCACGGCATCGATACGCGCACAACCCTCATCACAAGCGGCACACCCACTCCCACCATCATCACCCATCATCACCCTTCATCACCCATCCCACTTCTCACCCTGTCCATCAGGAACCGCTCTGCAACGCGCTTCACCGTCTCAGCATCCACGGCATCGATGCGGGCAAACATCTCAGCCAGCGGGATGCGCCGCCCGTACGTGATCAGCTGCCGCCCGATGTCCTCCGCCACTGCGCTTGAGCCGTCCAGATGCAGAGCAAGGGATGCCTTGAGCTGTGGGGTGGGTGGGAAGGGGTGGAGAGGGGTGCACACGTGCGTACGTGATCAGCTGCCGACCAATGCCCTCCGCCACTGCACTCGAGCCGTCCAGGTGCAACGCCAGGGACACCTTCAGCTGGTGGGGTGGGTGGTGTGGAGGGGGTTGGCGGTGGGTGGGGTATCACAATGACCAGTGAAAGCTGAGTGGTGCGAATGCATGTGAGGTGACAGCATGCTACCGCAAATGGCTGGTAACATGCTGACAACGGGCTGACTGACTGACAGCATGCTGACGTGGCATGGCACTTACTGCGTTGCCAGCGCGGGTGACGTCGTCATCAGACACGCGGTACACGAGGCGGGTGATCTCATGCATCATGGCCCACGCGAGGTCGTCCAGATGGTCGGGCTGCTCATGGCATGGCACCAGACAGAAGAGCACATAAACAATAGGGGGGGGGGGGGGGGGGAAGGAGGGGTGGTGGGAACAGGACAGGGTAGGGTGGGCATATGAGACACAGACACGCGGTACACGAGGCGGGTGATCTCATGCATCATGGCCCACGCGAGGTCGTCCAGATGGTCGGGCTGCTCACATGCATGGGGATATGGTGGGAGAGTGAGGAGATGGGGACATGGTTTAGGCAAATGAAGCACATGTCACATGCGAGTGACCCCATCTCATGCATCATGGCCCACGCGAGGTCGTCCAGATGGTCGGGCTGCTCACATGCATGGGGATATGGTGGGAGAGTGAGGAGATGGGGACATGGTTTAGGCAAATGAAGCACATGTCACATGCGAGTGACCCCATCTCATGCATCATGGCCCACGCGAGGTCGTCCAGATGGTCGGGCTGCTCACATGCATGGGGATATGGTGGGAGAGTGAGGAGATGGGGACATGGTTTAGGCAAATGAAGCACATGTCACATGCGAGTGACCCCATCTCATGCATCATGACCCACGCGAGGTCGTCCAGATGGTCGAGCTGCTCACATGCATGGGAACAGACAGCACGGCATCAACAATGGGAGGTTGGGAATAAGGCAGGGTATGGAGAAAGGCCAGAGTAGGGTGGGTTGGGTATGTGGGACACAGCATGCGGTCGACGTGGCGAGTGATCTCACACATCATGGCCCATGTTAGGCCATCCAGATGGCCGGGCTGCTCATGTGCATGGGGATTAGTATGAGCATGAGAAGATGGGAACATGGGGTAGGCAAATGAGACATGTTGTATGGTGGCTGAGGGAAGTACGCTGCTTGCAATGAAGTGCCTTGCATTGAAATTCTGAAAGCTGCACTTCATTGAAAGCTGCACTTCATTGAAAGCTGCACTTCACCTTGGCGCAGGCATAGACGCCAAACAACCCCGTGTCAGAGTAGTTGGTGTTGAACGCCATGAATCGCTCACACAGGCTGTTGGCCGCCACCTTCTGTGCCAACTCCGACCTGCAAGGAGAGGGGGAGACGGTAAGAAGGAGAGGGGTGGAGAAGGATGGGGGGCAGGCAGGGAGAGATGAGCAGAGAGAGGGGCTGGACTGGATGGATGCTGCAGTTGGTGTTGAATGAAATGAACGCCATGAAGCGCTCACAGAGACTGTTGGCCGCCACCTTCTGCACTGGAGAATAAAGAGGGCAACTCTTCAGTATGTGAGGGGGAAGCAAGGTGGAGGGGCAGGGAGAGATGAGCAGGGAAAGAGGGGGACGAGAAGATGGGGCTAGCGCACCACAGATATTCCTCTCGATCACTCACACGCCCCGCGGCTCCAGGACCCCAGCATGGCCTGCATGACCTGCAGCGTCATGGCATCACCATCTCACTCCATACTGTACCATAGCACACCGTGATTCTTAACCCAACGCATTCCCCTGCCCGCCCCGCAGCTCCACGACCCCAGCATGGTCTGCATGACCTGCAGCGCCACAGCATCCAGGTCGGTCCAGATGGGCTACTGCTCGCCGTACCATACCACCAAACCATACCATACTACCTAGACGCGTGTTTCTTACTCACCCCAATGCATTCCCTCCGCCAGCCACGCGGCTCCATGACCCAAGCATGGTCTGCATGATCTGCAGCGCCACAGCACCACCCTCTCACCCGCCTGATTGCTCGTAACCCATCACACAACCACCCATCACCCCTCATAAATACTCACCCCAGAGCATTCCCCCCACCAGCACCGCGGCTCCACGACCCCAGCATGGTCTGCATGATCTGCAGCGCCACGGCATCCGGGTCCGTCCAGCTGGCGCCCTTGTAGGCGATGGCGAAGTTGGTCAGCGGCATGTCGTCATCACGGATGCGCACCTCAGAACCTGAGAACAACGGGGGCAGGGAAGGGAAGAGGAGAAGCGAAGGAGGAGGGGAGGAGTGGTTAGCAACTAGCAGTCCAGCTGGCGCCCTTGTAACCACTCCTCTGTAAGCAATGGCGAAGTTGGTCAGCGGCATGTCGTCATCGCGGATGCGCACTTCGGAGCCTGGGGGGAGAAGGGGTGAGGGTGGGAGGGAGGAGGCGTGTGGGTGGGAGGGGAGGGATTGTTGACTTGAGACAGCAGTCCAGCTGGCGCCCGCCCTTGTAGGCAAGGGCTTGTTGTCGCCACGAATGGGCACCTCTGAGCTTGAAGACAAAGGGAGTGGGAGGGGGGGGAGGGGGATTGGTGACTCATAAAATCTCTCACAAGTGGCCCCACACCACGGACATTTGAACTTGAACTGGATGGCAAGAGCTGCAGCAGCACCACCACTACCCCACCTGTGAACTTGGAGGGCTCTTTGGCAATGAGGTCAGCAACAGTGGTGGTGCTGGCAGCAGGCAGCAGTGGCTGGTGGCCTTTGTACATTCTCAAAACTGGCTTATTTACACACACCACCACCACCACCAGTAACACTCACCTGTGAACTTGGAGGGCTCCTTGGCAATGAGGTCAGCGACCGTGGTGGTGCTGGCAGCAGGCAGCAGTGGCTGATGGCCTTTGTACATTCTCAAAACTGGCTTATTTACACACACCACCACCACCACCAGTAACACCCACCTGTGAACTTGGAGGGCTCCTTGGCAATGAGGTCCGCGACAGTGGTGGTGCTGGCAGCAGGCAGCGAGGCGAAGGTCTTCTCCACCATCTTCACCAGCGCGTCGTGATCCACCGCTCCTGCTGCCGACACCACCTGGGGGCAGGGTGAGGAGGGTATGGGGGGAGGACGGGTTTGGTTGCGGCAGGGGGGTTGGTTAGTGACTGCAGCAGGCAGCGAGGCGAATGTCTTCTCCACCATCTTCACCAGCGCATCGTGATCCACCGCTCCTGCTGCTGAGACCACCTGAAGGTGAGGAGAACGGGTGTGGGGGGGCCGGGGGGTGGGAATTGTTGGAAGGAAGAGAGCAAGGGCAGGCAGCGACGCGAATGTCTTCTCAACCTTCTCCACCAGCGCGTCATAGCTCGCCGCTCCTGCTGCCGCCACCACCTGGGGGAAGCGGGAAAAGGGTGGAGGAGATTGGATGAGCGGTGGAGGGCGGGTAGTCCGTCGCAATGTGCCTCTCAAATGCTTTCTGGGAATAGCAAGCATACCTTGCCCCCCACGCATTCCTTTCCTCTTTTGAGGCGCCTCAAAAGTCGCAATGTGCCTCTCAAGATCCTTTCTGGGAATAGCAAGCATACCTATCCCCACCACGCATTCGTTCCCCCCCACGCCACCCCACCCCACACACGCAGCCACATCCATCCCCGCTATAAGCTCACCATCCTGGGCCCGGTGTAGTGCGTGGCAATGTACTTCTCGAGGTCGTCCCTTGTGATGGCGCGCACGTTGTCCGCGGACCCCAGAATGGAGGCACCCCGTCCTCCCCACCTCCCACCACACGCAGCCCCATTCATCCCCGCTATAAGCTCACCATCCTGGGCCCGGTGTAGTGCGTGGCAATTTACTTCTCGAGGTCGTCCCTTGTGATGGCGCGCACGTTGTCCGCGGACCCCAGAATGGAGGCACCCCGTCCTCCCCACCTCCCACCACACGCAGCCCCATTCATCCCCGCTATAAGCTCACCATCCTGGGCCCGGTGTAGTGCGTGGCGATGTACTTCTCGAGATCGTTGCGCGTAATGGCGCGCACGTTGTCCGCGGAGCCCAGAATGGTGCGCCCCAGCGGGCTGAACTGGAACGCCGTGGCGTGCAGATGGTCGAACAGCACCTCCTCCACCTGCTTCTCGATCTGCGCGTGTGCGTGTGCGTGGTGGGAGAGAGGGGTTAAGTGGGGAGGGAGCAGGGTAAGTGGAGGGTGGGAGGCTTGACAGGAGTTGAGAGGTGGATCGTGGCGTGCAGATGATCGAACAGCACCTCCTCCACCTGCTTCTCGATCTGCGCACGTGGGGAGAGAGGAGAGGGGGAACGTGGGGTGGGGGATGAGGGAAGGAAAGGGGACGCGTACACGCGAGCCCAGAATGGTGCGCCCCAGCGGGCTGAACTGGAACGCCGTGGCGTGGAGTTGATCGAACAGCACCTCCTCCACCTGCTTCTCGATCTGCAAACGGGCATGGGTGAGCGTGTGCGCGCGTGTGTACGTGCGTGTGTGCGTTAGGGAAGGGGTGCAAGTGGGAGGTTAGGGAGTTGCAAGGAGGGCTGAACTGGAACGCCGTGGCGTGCCGATGGTCAAATAGCACCTTCTCCACCTGCTTCTCGATCTGCGCGGCTATGGGTTGGGGAAAAAAAGGTAAATGGGAACGCGGAAAGGGGGCCGGCGGACGAAGGGAATTCAAAGGAAGGGGGAGAAGCGGGTCGGGGCGTGCAGATGGTTCACGCGACTAATCTGCACATCCACCTGCTTCGCGATCTGAAAGGCAAGACGAGAATCGATACCGCAAGAGCGTCGTTCTCCCAATAAGTACGCCGCCTGTTTCCGCTGGAGCAACCACTACGATCAAGACAGTTACTGGTGAGAACGAAGGCGACTCGGATCGCCACAATAGCACGTACTAACTCTACCGCCTTAATACGCTCGTAGTGCCACCATCACCACCATCACCGGGCTATAAAGAGTACGTCGCCATAGTACCTCCTGCATTTCCCGCAAAAAAAGAACCGACAGTTTAGCAGCGCGCCTGTGTCCCAACGGAACTAACGTACCTCCTGCATTTCCCGCAAAATGACTCCGCGCTCGCGGTCCACCGCATCCTCGCTAAAAAGCGAATTCTGCAGAATGTCTCCGAGCAGATCTACTGCGACGGGGATATCCTTCTGCACCACCTTCGCGTAATACGTCGTCATCTCGCGCGACGTGTACGCGTTAAGATGTCCTCCGGCATTCTCAACCTCCATCTCCAGCTGCTGCACCGACCGTCTCTTAGTCCCCTTAAAAATCATATGCTCCAGAAAATGCGCGGTTCCGTTAGTAGCTTCGCTCTCGTACCGGCTCCCCGCGTCGATCCACACGCCGATCGTGGCCGTCTTCGGCGCGTTCGGGTTCGGGTTCGCCTCGCTAGCGACGCGAAGGCCGTTGGATAAGGTCGTGACACGTGTCGCCGGGATAAGCCCGAGGGCCGCGCTGTGATCGACGGTTATGGGGATCGGCGAGTTATAGCGCGCGAATCGGTCCTCGTCCACTATCTGCACGGCTGCGGGGGCTGCTTGCGCGGAGAATGCGCGGAAAGGGGCGATCGAGCCAGATCTGCGGCCGGACGCGGAACGAGCCGCGCGGGACGCGGCGGCTAGCAACCGGGAAGCCATGGTTGAATCCAAACGGCTAGTGGCTGTGGACAGGCGGGGCGGGCGGAGCGGAGTGAGCGGAGGGCGGAAGATGAGAGGCGGAGGGTGGAACGGGTAAGGCGGGACGAAGGACACCTCAGCAGCCCTCGCGAAGGGAAACCTGAAGCTACTAAAGGTAATGTCCTAGCCTCTTGGCAACCACGTGCGACAAAAGCACTTGCAATGGGGGAGGAAAAGGCTTTCTTCCACCCGCCAGTGCGCACGCGCGGGTCGTCGTCAGCTCCACCCCGCCTCCGCCTCAACTTTTGCGGAGGGTCCAAATCTCAATGCAGGGTCGAATAGTGAAAAAAAAATACATGCTGTTAGGCCTGACGGCCTAAGTCCGCTAAAGAATTAGCGGGGTAGACTAAGTCGAGGATGAAAGGCGGCGGAAGACTTTGGCGAAAGAACTACTAGCGAAATAGGCGAAGAAGTTACTGAGTAATTGAAGAAGAGTTGAATGAGAATTGATTGATATGAGGGAATACAAACAAGGTTGATATAGCATGCAAGAACAATTGAATGAAAGTGGGTTGTGGGACTAGGAACTAGAAGGCAAAGAAAGTAGAGTGCCACGTGGCACTAGGAAATCTAGGAAGATAAGGATAAGGATGAGTTGGATGGGTTGGGAAAATACTGTTCAAAGGAAACAGTAAATCCCCCCTTAACACTACCCCCCTCCCAAGGAGGCGACGTCCGCGGCGCCTGCAGACTGAAGATACGCTCGGAGGCAAGCGTTGTCGGGAGACAACGAGGACAAAGGAACCCAGCTGTCGTCTGTGTCAGAATGTTATGTTTGTCTAGCCTGCAGTGGGGTACTCAATAGTGAGTACAGCCCAACTTAGGGTTTCCTACTGTATATGTACTCAACTGCTTGCTAGTGAACCTCCTCTCTTCTTCCATTCCTCATTTCTTCACATGCTATCAGAGCATCTACGCTTCTGGCCTGTGGTCCCACCTAACTGCTTCCGGTGCTACTCTGTGTTCGACACGCCCCGTGGCGTGCCCCTCGCGCTACTCTTAGCGGCCCCGTTGCCGCCCTTCCAGGCCCCTCGCGGCCCCTTCGCGGCCCCGTCGCCGCCCCTTTCACGGCCCGTCGCCGCCCTTCCAGGCCCCTCGCGGCCCCTTCGCGGCCCCGTCGCCGCCCCTATCGGCCCCGTCGACACCGCCAGCGGCCCCGTCGCCGACCCTAGCGGCCCCGTCGCCACTCCTATCGGCCCCGTCGCTGCCGCCAGCAGCCCCGTCGCCGCCGCCAGCGGCCCCGTCGCCGCCACTTGCGGCCCCGGCCCCGCCCCGGTCATGCCCCGTCGCTAGCCGCGGGCACGTGCACCGCCCCCCCCCCCCCCCCCTTTTTCCCATCGCCCGTCGCGGCTCTTTCGGGGGCCGCCTGGGGGAGGGGGGCGAGCATCGCCCCTTCTGCCGCCTGTTTTGGCGCCCTGGGAGACCGCGCGTCGCCCCCCCCCCCCTAACCTCCCTACCCGCCGTCCCGCCCTGGCCTGTGTTAGGGTCTGGGGGTGGCGAGTAGGGGGTGACGGGTGTGTGGTCTCCCCTGCTCCTCCTCCTCCTTCGTCTCCCACTACTGCAGCTGTCGCTGAGGGGGGTGGATGTGTGGGAGCCTGGGGTTTAGGGTTTAAGGGGGGTACTGTGGGAGTGGAGCTAGGGTTTTGAGGGAGGTGGATGTGTGTGAGCCTGCGGTTTAGGGTGTAAGGGGGGTGCTATGGAAGTGGAGCTAGGGTTTGAGCAGGGGGTGTGTGTCGAGAGGTGTGGGGCAGCTGGAGGAGGTTGGTTGAACGGAGGTTGTCGTCGTGTCGTCAGCAGCACCAGTAGTCCGGAGCACTGCTCCGGCAGCCCAGTCGTAGCCAGCTGTGCCAGTTGCCCGTGGGTCCGTTGCTCGTCTGCCGCTAGTCTTAGCCGCGGAGCCAGTTACTCCAGTAGTCCGGAGCGCTGTTCCAGTAGCCGCTGTGCCAGTGTGACTCCTGTTGCCCGTGTGTCTGCAGCTTCAGCCGTCACGGCCCGAGGAGGTGGCATTGGACGAAGAAGCGACACGTGGAATGACGGGTGCATGCGGAAATGAGCGGGAAGGCGAAGGCGGTATGCAACTGGACCAAGTGCGCGCTCAATGACAAATGGACCAATGAAACGTGGACGAAGCTTGCTGTCATGTGGCAGTCGGAGGTTGCGGCTATCCAAGAGAACACGGTCGCCGACTGCGAACGACACCTCACGACGACTGCGGTTGGTGGTGCGTGCCATGCGTGCATTTGCGAGCTCAAGGTGCTTCCTCACGTGATCATGAATGAAGGTGAGATGCTGGTGGAAGTTGTCCGCACGAGGGACTGTGGGTGTGAGATCGACACGAGTGGGGACGTTGGGGTGCTGACCGTACAGTGCGAAGAACGGTGACTTGCCTGTGGCGCAGTGGTGCGTGTTGTTGTAAGCGAACTCGGCCATGCTCAGCTTCTTGTCCCATGCGGCTGTATCGTGCATCGCGATGCTGCGAAGAATCTGCTCCAAGGTCTGGTTCACACGCTCGGTCTGTCCATCTGTCTCTGGATGGTATGCAGACGACATGGCTAAGCGAGTCCAAAACAGTGCAAAAAGCTGCTTCCAGAATTTCGAAGTGAAACGAGGGTCGCGGTCGGAAATGATGGAATCTGGAACCCCGTGCAGTCGTACTACGTTATCTACGAACATTGTCGCGGCTTCCTCTGCTGTGACCTTGCCGTGCGTAGGGATGAAGTGCGCTGCTCGAGAGAACTTGTCGACTACAACGAAGATGGCGTCGTGACCCCTAACCGTGCGCGGTAAAGCCATGATGAAATCCATGGTGACTACCTGCCAAGGGCGGTCGGGCGGTGGAATCGGCTGCAAGAGTCCTGCTTTGCGCTGGCGAGAGGACTTCGTACGCTGACACGTATCGCACGAGCGAATGTAATCCTCTACGTCTGCTGCAAGCCCTAACCAGTAGTACGTGCGACTAAGCGTGTTAGCCGTCTTATCTGCTCCGAAGTGACCTGCACTGACGACATCGTGTGCCTCGGAAAGGAGCTGTCGAAGAGGTCGGTACGCAGGAACCAAAATCCGTGTGGTACCCTTCTGTATGTAGACACTACCCTGCACCTCTTCTCCTGCAGGCGGCTGCGGGGTGAACTCGGGATCTACTGTGTAACCGTGCTCGAAGAGTGTTGTGAGAAGTGGGTGGCCGGCAGTGACTGTGAGACTAGCGAATTGGCAACTAGGGCGAGTGAGTGAATCTGCTGGGTTGCGCACGCCTGGCTTGTACTCTATCATGTAGTGAAAGCTCCCCTCCTTAAACTCCATCCATCTAGCCTGGCGACGACTCAGCTGCGGCTGCGACTTGAGGAAACGAAGCGAACAGTGGTCCGTGCGTATAACACTATCTGCCCCCTCTAGGTAGCACCTCCACACCTTATACGCATGGATGATCGCAAGCGCCTCCTTGTCGTGTATGGGATAGTTCTGAGAAGAAGTGAACGAGAATGAAATGACTATGAACGAAGTGAGTACAAATAGGAAACCCTGATTGGGCTGTACCCCTTATGGGATACCCCACTATAGCCTACAGAAACAAGTAAGCTATATGTTCTGACACACCCCCATAGGCAAAGTGGGGGAGAACAAGGGGTCACAAGACCAGTCAAGCAAAGCAAAGCAAAGCTCAGGGTGGATCACAAAGTCACCACGCATTCCGAGCACAAGTTCAAAGGCCAGAAGGCCAGTTCACATGCAAGATCATATATAGAGATATACAAGAGGCAAACAAGCAAGAACAAGAGTATATATAGGCGAAGGTACAAGCAAGGTCAAGAGGAGAGCAAGTGAGGCAAGACAGGCACAAGACCCAACTGCGTGCAACAACGCTGATGATCACAAGGCGGAAGTGCCTTGGTGAAGACATCAGCAGTGTTGGCCTCAGAGGCCACGTACGCAAGTCGCAACTGTCCACGCTGCTGTAGCTCACGAGCAAGAAAGTAGCGGAGAGCAATGTGCTTCGTTCTGTGCTCCAGTCGCTGCTCTCGACACAAGGCCAGCATGGCCTTGTTGTCTACGTACAGGACTGGAGGAGAACGAGGCTGCTCTCCAAGGTCGGTCAGCAGGTAGGTGAGCCAACGTAACTCCTGCGCAGCCATAGCCCCAGCGTAGATCTCAGCCTCACAACTGGAGCCGAGAACAGAAGACGAGCGGGTAGCCCGCCACGAAACAGAGCCGGAACCAAGGCTGAAGGTGTAACCCTGTGATGACCGCTGCGTAGCCTGGTCGTCAGCCCAAGAAGCGTCAACGTGCCCAGTGAGGACCACTGGACTGCGCCCTCCAAGCACAAGCCCCATGCCCGACGTGCTGCACAAGTAGCGCAACACCCTCTTCGCTGCAGCCATGTGCTCTGGTCGGTGTCTCCCAGGAGCAACATAGCGTGCGAGAATGCTAAGAGGGTATGCAAGGTCAGGACGTGTGCAGGTCATCAGGTACATGAGGCAGCCAACAAGCTCTGCAAACGGGCCACTCGACTCTACGGACTCATCCGAAGGCAGAGCTGAGAGTGAGTGGCGAGTAGGCAGAGGAGTGGCCTGAGGCGAGGAGTATGTGAAGCCGAAGCGCTGAAGGACCTGCTGCACCATGTGTGACTGAGTCAGGGTAATGGTGCGGCGCGCTCTGTCCCGGGTGATCTGCAAGCCAAGGTAGCTACGCAGTTCACCCAGGTCAGTGCACGTGTGTCTCTTCTGCAGCTCGGACTTCACGTAGGCGAGTCCAGCAGTGTCAGCTGTGGCAAAGACCAAGTCGTCGACGTACACGAGGATGTAGAACGGCGGCAGAGAGGTGTCGGTGCGCAGAAACAGCGACGGGTCGGCAGTAGACGGAGCAAACCCAAGTGCCGCGAGCGTAGTCCTCAGTGTGTCGTGCCACTCACGTGGCGCCTGGCGGAGACCGTAGACTGGACGCCGGAGACTCCACTGGGTACCAGG